TTTTAGGCTTTTTACCGGAAACATGTTTTTCATTAAAATTATTTGAACAATVTGAAGGTAAATCGGATTCCTCAGTCATATTATTTTGAACAATTAAATCGTCATATATGGTAGGGAATTGGGGGAGAGAGGGGCCGGCCATGGAGAGCCCAACCCAACTCAAAATAAATTTTTTTTTTTTAAAAACAAAGCCCAAATTCATAAAATGTCATTTTCTCAATTTTGACATTTTTCTTCAAATTAAAAGCCCAAGATGACTAAATTTATTTAAATAGAAAGGTTTTATATTTAAAACACTAAAACTTAATGTTTTATATATATTAGGTATAAATTAGAGCATTTGGTACTGTATAGGACGTTTCAGATAATTTCGAGTCGGAACCGGACTTTCTAAGCAACTGTCGGAATCTCTTARAWRTTTTTCGACTAAACTAACCTAACTAACTCCTAATCTTATAAATTACCTTCAATAACACTAATATAATCTTAATAAGAGCTAACCTGGGATTTTGAATTTGACAACTGTCACATGTTACAAATAACAAAATTTTGGCAGATTTTAATTAAATAAACAATTAATTAAAATTCATCAGAAATCCATCGAAAACTATAATTAATTATCACTAATTAATTCATTAAAAAAATTGACCAAGTTTGTGACGGTGTTAAATAAGTAAAAAATTCGTCACAAATTCGTCAGCAATCCGTCAGTAAAGTTATCGAAATAAATTTTTAGTTTTTCAAAACAAATTCAGTGACGGATTTGTGGGGGACTTGTGGCGGAAGTCAACAAAAGTTGACTTTCCTTGACTTTTTTGGGATCTGTCGAAAATCCGTCACTGATTTTTCCGACGGAATTTTCGCAAAAAAATCCATTGATGATACCCATTTTTTAGTAGTGTTAGATATGCATACGAACCGGTTTTTGATCTAAAATTTTAAACCAATCTCGACACAATAGCATCAAATAAGGGACGATGATCATCTACATTGACGTGGGTTCATGTTTACCATATAAAATTTGAGTTGCTTTTAATTTTTATAATTAAAACAAGACATGTGTTTAGGAATATGAATTGAAAAATATGTTGACTTTATAATCGTTAGATTTTAAAAAATAATAATTGGTTATATTTTAGATGGTTATGTTAGAAGGATGTTTGATGTACTTTGAATACACTTGCAGTAACTTTCTTAAACAAAAGGAAAAAAAAAATAACTTACAAAACTAAGAATATTTTTTTAACTTTACAAATATATATATATATATATATATATATATATATATAGGGGCCTATTCAAGGGAGAACTGAGTTGTTTGTGGTAACTGTGAGAACCAATATTAACCACAAATCAATAGATAAATTAGGAAATTTATAAATTTGGTAATTTTAAATTAAAATCTTAATGTAAGGATATTTTTGGTATTTTAAAACTCTCCTCTCTCCTCTCTTCTCTCTCCGGCCACCGTTCTCCGGCCACCGTTCTCCGGCCTCCGGCCACCGTTCTCCGGTGATACCATTATGATACCACTGTGATACCTAAAAATATTGACTCTGTTAAACAAAAGATACATTGTGATACCTAATCATATATAAGATGCATAGTGATACCACTGTGTTACATCTTCGATCGACCACACAAACGACATCAATGTGATACCCAAGCACATATATAATACATTGTGATACCATTGTAGTATCACCGGAGGACGGTGGCCGGAGAGAGAAGAGAGGAGGGGGAAAGTTTTAAAATACCAAAAATATCCTTGCATTAATATTTTAATTCAAAATTGCCAAAATTATAAATTTCCTAACTTATCTATTGATTTGTGGTTGATATTGGTTCTCACAGTTACCACAAACTAATTAGTTCTCATTTGATTAGGCCCCTATATATATATATATATATATATATATATATATATATATAGAAAGAAAGAGGGTGAGTTATTATGCAACCATTTACATTTGTACAACCAATACAACACAATTCAAACCGTCCATTTCATTTGATGAATATATGATTTCAAAAAAGTTTTGATTGTTTCCTAATATAAAGTATTGATCATAATTAATGAACTTTAGTCATCTTTCATAAATATTCAAATCATAATAAATGAACTCTCATCATTTTTATAAATATCTTAATTGATTGGTTTGCATTGGTTGTACAAAAGTGATTGGTTGCACTTGAAACGTACTCTCTTTCTCTCTCTCTCTCTCTCTCTCTATATATATATATATATAATATATATTATACATATAAAATTTATTTTGATTTTAATGTTGGGGGGTATTTGTTTTCATGGATAAAAAAATTAATCGAGTTTTTTTGTTGTATTAATACGACTTAATGATTGATTATCTTGTATCATAACGTGTGTATCAATTGATTATTATTTAGATTCAAGAAGTATTAATTAACAAGCCATACGTATCTATTAATTATTTGAAAACTTAATTGAAATTTAAAAGACTGTCGATTGTTTAATAATCATTCTTGAGACTTTTAACCAATCACATTATACAATCAATAGTAAAGATGTATGAAGACATGCTAATTGCTATCTTTTATCAAGATCGTGAAGCTTGAAACTCGAGCACTTCCACTATGCTGTGTCCCAAATCATTTAGAAGGCAAAAGACAAAAGTAATACCATTATAATTAATAAAAGGAAAAAAAAAAGCATATATATTACTTCCAAGTACATGGCCAATTGTCCCTATACAATTCAACACCCTCCATTTTTTACTTTAGTAGACATCTATGCATATTTTAATTTTTAGTCTTAATAATAGTGATTGTGCCTCTCCCTTGTGTATGAATTCTGGTGAGAGCCACGACCGCCTTGCCGGAGAGGCCGAATCCGTCCGGCGAAACCAATGGCCGACATGCAAAGTCCCCCACTGGATGCTTCAAGGGTCTCGTCGGGGGCATTAGGATTCTTCGGTTGATGTCGTTCAATGTAATATCCCCCTTAATTCCACCCGGCTTCACCAATGCAAAGGGATACACCACTCTTGTTACAACCTTCTTCTTTCTCTCTTCATTTCTTCCTCCTATACATGATCAACACTCCCGTCACCAATTCCGAACAAATTGCATAAATGTTTTAACAACTGAATATGATGGACAACTGTTAGACATAATTTCATCCTAAAAAACTTATTATTTCATATTTGTATATGATGGATAACTGTTAGTCATGTAAACTTAAAGGTCTTATTAAATATTATATTATGACAGTTGGTTATCTTAACAAACTCATTTTGAGGTGGTGAATGAATCATTTATTGACCGATAGTAAGTCTAATATGAATCAAAATGCCTTTATGAGACAATTAAGAAAGAAAAGGACGAGTGTGACATATCTATTAGTCAAGATGGTTGTCGTTACATGCCAACAACGAAAGTATATAGTAGATTACTTTTATTCAAGCAATGTCTTTACAAATCAAAACACACAAACTTCTTTATGGTGTAAGAATATGAGCTAAGATGAAAAAAGTAAGGAGGAATCTGAACTCTTGATCACTTTTAATATCACTCCATCCCATGAATTGTGTTTGATACAGAAAATTGATCTAGTGCATCTCGTTACACTTCATTACTGTTGATCTGAAGATTTTTTCTTATAATTCTCACCATAACTTATCTCATTAAGGGGCCGTTTACCAAACACTTATCCGGGTAAGCGCTTACCAAGTCACAATCACCAAATGAATATATTAAGGACTAAGAATCTTACTTGGTAAGAGCGAGACGAAGACCATGAGTCTTACCCGATAAGTGAGGGTGACGACTCTTACCACGGTAAGCGCTTACCGGGTGAATTGTTGCATACAATGTCGTTTTAATGGATTAAAATCTTACTCGGTAAGTAAATAATAGTGTTAAATTTTACCCGTAAACACTTACCGAGTAAGTGTTTGGTAAGCGGTCCTTAAGTGTTGTATCTTACTAAGAGATGGTCATAAAAATACATAACTAATAACCTAGCTAACATGATACTTAACTATGGTTAGTAAACTCAAGTATGAAATGATACATAACCATATATGTTTGAAAGCAAATATATATATATATATATATGTGTGTGTGCGCGCGCACGCGCGCGTGCGAGTAGTTCAAATGAGAACCCCTCTATTTTGCCGAAATGCGAGAACACTTGTGGGTCTCTAACCTTTTTAACCAATAACTATAATTATAATTATAATTATAATAAATAAAAATAAATCAATCAAGGTAGTAATGTGATTAGGTATTTTTATTATTATGTTTATGTTATTTATATTAATTGTAATTATTCCATTATTTAGAATTGGAGTTTGTTCACGTCGATTACGTTTCCATCGTTTTATGTATATGCATATTGGATCATATTATCATATCATTAGTTTCAAATTCCTTTTTAACTGAGAACGGAAGATCCCAATGGTTTTGGAAGGAAGCTATTTTGATATTGTTTTCATATTTATGTGATAGAGTATTGAATACAACCCATCTTCGATTATTCTATTATGATATCGAAGGTACTGTGATAAACATGTTGTACCCTTGAATATGACCCATGTTCGATTACTCTATTATGATATTGACTATGTTGTATAAATATGTGATACACTTGAATACAACCCATGCTCGATTATTCTATTGTGATATCAAATGCGATGTGATATATATATACATCTATGTGTGTGTGTGTGTGTGAGAGAGAGAGAGAGAGAGATAGCCCTAAACAATGACAAAAAATAATCGAGCCTTAATCACTGGATAATCATCGTCGACGATGATATCATTTCCCCGATGATCGGAGTAATCATGATCGTGTTATTTGAATGTTATCATTTTAATTTCCTATTTCACCCTTCCATGTCAAAATATTTTTGAAATTTTTTTTGTACTAATTTTAATTTAAAAATCCCTTAACTTATGTTAATTTGTGATATAAAACACAATGTTTGGTTTATAGGTTATTCTTGTGTTCTCATAAATCATCACAAGGATTAATCATTAAATATATATATATACACACACACACACACACATACAGTAGCGGATCCAGGATTTTTGTTCAGTGGGGTCCCCTTTAAGGTAGACTAAAGACCCGCAAAATCGTCCGATGTGTTTTTAACCTAATTACAACGTTTTCGAGGGAATTTTAAAGTTTTTTAATTCATTTCGAGGGATTTTTTTAGTGTTTTTGTCGATTTTGAATATTTTTTTTGGTTTTTTTGATTAATTTCAACAATTTTTTTTGTTAGAGTAATGGTTTCGATTGGGGTTGGGGTCCCGTGGAAAAATGTAATGGGCGGAAGCGAAAGATAAATCATGTAAAACATAAATTTTAACCTATAAATTTTTGCTTTTGAGTTTTTTATCGGGGTCCCTTCCCCCTCCTTTTTACCATTGCATCCGCCCCTGTATATATGTATATATATATATATATATATATAGAAATATACATAAAGATATATATAATAAACAAGAATTTGAAACCATATAATATAACAAGTCATTGTCAATGGCATGAAATTAAAGGTGCTTCTGAATTTACTTTTGTCTAAAACAATGTTTCAGTCTTTTTAGAGTACGAAACTAATCAAAAGTGATGACAGAGTTATATGAGAAAATTGTTTCAAAGTGGTCCACTTGTGTGTTTTCTCGTATAAATACGTATCCGTCATACACTTTTGCCTCCGAATAATGCTCTTGTTATAGAAGCCTTGTGTTATGTATATATACCATTACCTTTTCTTCATAATATTTTATCAAGTTTTATATTTTTTTTCTAGATAAACATTTGATGATTTTTTTTCCGCAATTTTCACCAAATATTACATGTCATCGATATCAACAATCAATTCATTATATTTCTCACCAATTTTTCTCTATTTTTCTGGATCCACATTTTGAATCACATGTGATTAACTTCATTTAATATATGATCTGTTATGTATCATATATGATCTACTATGTGATTTTTTTGTACATGTCACATATGATAATATATGTCTGAATACAAGTGACGTATTAATCATCATATTTGATGGTATTTACATCATAAACAAATCTATAATAAAAATATCTATAACTATCACATATGATTAACAAAAATATTTATAATTATCAGATATGATTGATACAACCATCAAACAAATTATCATAGGTGATAAAAACTTATAATCAAGTCGTTACATATATATTTATCTTTCTAAAATAAGTTTATAAATGATTACTTGAAATATCGACTTAGAAGACAAACTCAATCCCGGTTTATTAATCGTTATACACTTGTAGATAATGTTACCCTATTTAATTTAATTAATAATATTATTTCTCTCACAAATTACTTTTATTTCTCCGATGATCCTCAATCGATCTTTCTGTATATATTTGTTATGTATATATATATATATATATGTATGTATGTATGGTATGTATATTGATGTGTGTGTGTGTTTAAGTGGAATGGTCTTTTAGCTGTAATTTATTTTTATAAAAACAATAAATCTAGATAAAATACAGTTATTAGACACGGTGATGTTAAATTATTCTTCGTTAAAGAAAAATAAGTCAAATGGTATATATATATACATACACACACACTGTTCCATGTTTCAATGCTTCATGATGGAAAATCATCATTACTTCTACATCATCATCATGCATGCATCCATGCATGTGAGGATTAATTTGCCCCAAATTTTCCTTAAATAATAGGTACAATTTTTTAAAGTTATTTTTTAAAAAGAATAAACATACGACTATATATCAAGCAACCCTAGAATTATTGATGCGTGTGAAACAGAAGACTTACCAAGAGAATGGTGTGAAGAAAGCAGCATTTGCTTCTTAGGAGAGAAGCAGTGAGTATGGATGCTGCTTTTGTTGCTTTCTGAAGATGATGTTGAATGCGTCTCCTCTACTCGCTTCCTTCTGTCTTCTCCATTCATGACTGCTGCTATAAATAATTCATATTTTAACTAATGATTTTAAAAGAAACCCATAAATTTAACGCAGTTGATAAGATCAATCGAGTCATGAATCACCATTGTTATCTGCATACAACTTGCAGAAGCTCTCGTAAGAGTTATCCAAGTCTTGAGGAGAGATGGAATTCCAGTAGCCCTGTCAGTTGATAGATCAGCTTTAGAACACATACCCATCTGACTGTGTTTTGAGAAAAATTCAAATTTAGAAGATGAAATAAATACAGGAAATGAGGTTTGGTTATGATGATCATCATTGAAGAGAAGCAACCGCCGGCGTTTGGAACTACTGAATTCAAGCAGAGCGTCTTCAAGATAACCTGATGACAGATCATCTGAATGCAAATCATGGAAAGGAGCAGCGTTGTTCATGTCCATAGCTGCACCATATATATGACCTACCAAATCAGCATATACATACATACAATATATATATATATAGAGAGAGAGAGAGAGAGTAGAAAGAAGAAGAATTACAGTAAGAGAGGGAAGATGGAATGGAGTGAAGGTCGCCCATATTTTTCTTGGGATGTGAGCGAATGATATGTTTATGTGGAAGAGTTGTATTTATGTATGTAAAGTGCAAATTAGACTCCTTGCCATCTTCTCTTACGTCATGCGTTCTTCCAACCCCGACATAGATGTGTAATAGCGGACCCTTTATTAATATTATATACACAGAGGGGGGGGGGTGTTTTGAGTGTTGTTCCCGTTAGAATCTACAAAATGTGTATAACAGTTTGTATAACTAGGGGTTAATACAAAAACAATAAATTTTTCAAATTTAAAATATATATTGATAAAGAAGAATCAATACAGATTTTACAAGATTGTTTGCGGAAAGATAAGATAAATAAAACATATCTAAACAATCTAAAAAAAAGAATTGTTGTAAAGGACTTAGAAGAAAGTAAATTTTATCTGGTAGAGAACTATTTAGAATATAATAAAAGAATTCTAACTTGCTCCTGAAGATGAGCGTATTGTGTTCTTAGATATGTGTTCTTTTACTTATAAACGAGAGTTAGGGTTCAAGAGTAAGTAAGTTCAGAATATAGAGTATCTATGCATGAAGATAGAACACATCTCTTTATACCCATTGTATTAAATGCACATTTAATGCAACGTGGTTGGGTTTAGAACACGTGTCAAGCCTTTAGAGAAAGATTTGTCCTTTGTTACAGTGAATAGTACAAAAGCATATTCATGAGCAGACATCCTTTCACAAAGTTGGTGGGTAATAGAGTAAACTAATCGGCTCCGTACCGTACTATCTTTTAGAAAGGGTATGGGTTTGTCCTTTGTGTGTATAAGGACAAGACAAAAATAATCGTGCTCAACAAGCTTCTTTTGATCGCTGAATGCTGGAATAACCTGAAAGTTTCTTCAGCATTCGCTGAGGCTTGGGCAGTCTTCACACATATGTAGACAAGGTTGTAATCACTGAACACAGTTTCAGATCACGTACTCGTTAGTCTCTAATCTTCAGTTTCAGTCTTCGACTTATACTGAAAGTTCTTTGGAATCTTTAATGGATGGTCCAACTGTGTTTTGGAAGGAGATTCCTGCAGTACCTAAATAGAATAAACCTGCTAAAATTGTGATAAAAGAAAATTCTAAATATAGTGCAAATGAATTAGCCAGAGCACATGCTCATATTTTGTATAAATCTTATATGATGCAAGCCTTAACGAATGACATTTACACACGCATTGACAGTTACAAGACATCAGGAAATAGTTTTGTGGAAACTGATAGAAAGAACAATGATGGGTTCTAAAGTGGGTACACAACTGAAAATTACCAATTGTATTACAAGTTATGAAGAATTTAAGGCTAAGGAAGGAGAGAGCCTAGATGATGTGTATGATAGGCTAACCAGACTTTTGAATGAGCTAACCAATAATGAGATCATTAAGACCAGAATTGTAACATCCCATACCACACATTGCATGTAACACATACTTCATACGGAAGAAATATATGTTTATGTACTACTCAGGTCCCTTAGTACAAGAATTTACTATACAGAATACATATCCCAAAAATTCAAAATACATTTTTTGTACTAATCATCGTTCATCCATCAAAACTATACATCATAGACAAATCTTCATGTAGATATGCATATAGGAAAATATCACATTTTCCCCTTCCCCTTACTGTCCGTACCTCCTGCAATACATATTTAAAATCACAAAACGAGAGTTAGACCGAAAGGTCTAGTGAGTTACCCCATTTATGTTATTGCAAGGTGAAAATCACCAAAACTTTGTACAAAATAACCTTTTCATATATATAACAAATATATGAATAAATAGAAACATATTACCAGTACCTTTCCACTTTTCAAGCCAAGCATTTAGCTATTCAAATAACATACTTCAAACTATTTTAGGTTTGAACCAACCAGGTTTCATATAATGTCACTTTTAAACCTTTTACATTAAACAAGATTTATTTAAAGTTTCAGACCAAACCTGTTATTTTCTCTTCAATAACATCCAGACTATAATTTCCAATAAAAACCCTAATCTTTAACATTTAAATCACAAAGAAATAAAGATTTTAGACCACGGTAATTTTAAAGGATATAATAGTAAGAGTTATATAACATAACACACATACGAATGTCACCCTTATATCCAAAAGTACACATCTCCTTGATATGTCACCCTTATCCCAAAGTACACATCTCATTGATATGCCACCCTTATCCCATGGTACACCTCTCCTTAATATGCCACCCTTATCTTATGGTACACCTCTCCTTAATATGCCACCCTTATTTCCTCATTAACATATTTCACAAAAACAATTCCAATTAGAACAGACCGCAGCCATAATTGTTTTAATGGAATATCATTAGTTCAAAATGTTAGGACTGAAAATCAGTATTAAATTGTATTCGTCTTGAAAGTTAAATATTGTCTATATTTGTAAAAGTCATCGTGTTTGACTTTTCTTAGACAGATTTGACTTTGACTATATTTAGAAGTTTGACCCTATAAATAGGGTGATGTCTTTTGTAATCTTGTAAGAGAGCTTTATTGTAAAATTCATATTACGTAAAGATAGTTTGACCAGAGCATTTGAAGATTGACTTTCTCTCTCAAATCTCATATGAATGTTCTTGAGTGTTAGATCCAGATCTGCCATTGTTTTGGAGCTTAGTGAAGATTGATCTTAAAGTGGGACACACACAAAATCATTCTTTATCAAAATTCCCATTTTTATACAAAAATACTAAAAATGACAATTGTATAAATAATACATAAGTCAAAGCACAAATCCGGTCAACACAGACTTGGCCCGACTTCATCTTCGGTCAGGTCTTGACCGATTTACTTATCCAGTCAATACAAGACCCTTGTCCGATTTACTAATCCGGACAACTCTCTCTCAAGCTTTGTCCGATTTAACACTTAAGAGAATTCCAACACTTTTGTCCGGATAACAAGTCCGGACAACACATGGTCGTATTTATACTTCTCCGTTCAAAACATAAACTCAATATTTATAAATCGCTTAACACTTGACCGGTTTAAGGCTAAACCGCTTATGCCTTGACCGGTTTAAGTCCAATCCGGACAATACTCATCAAGCGGTTTATTTATAAATCACTTAAGCCTTAACCGGTTTAGGTCTTGAATTGCCCAACCCTTGTTCGGTTTATGACTAAACCACCTGACTCTTAGCCGGTTTAAGTCTAATCCGGACAACACCTCAATGGTCAACTTTTAAATCAGATGAAAAAACTATACAATCAATTATACAACTATAAACAGTTTAAAAGCAATTTAAACCACTCACCTTGAAAAGCCTTTTGAAAAAAATTTGAATCCAGACAATTTTTTGAGCAATCCGATCAACCTTACTCTTCTTTAAATGGCTCAACAAAAGCAAAAGTAGCAAGAAAAAAAAAAGATGATAGCCCCTTTTATATTTTCCTTTTCTGGAAAGCCGGCTGCAACAGCCTTCATAAATAAACAAATACCCACACTCATGCATACCCATTTATACACATAATTTCACATATTAGCATGACCAAATGTATCAATTTATCATGTTGCCACGTAAACACATAACAAATAATCACATATTATTTACCTTAGGTGATAACCAAGATCCAGTTATCACAAGAATAGAGATCACTGTCAAATTTTTAAGTAATCTTCAGCCAGAATGGAAACCATTTGTAAACAACATCAGATACAATAAGTCATTTTCTGATATTGATATTCATGAAGTCTATGAAACATTAAAGCAGAATGAGGAGGATGTTTTGGAGATTAAAGATCTGAAGAAGAAGAGAGAAAAGGAAGTGAGTGATCCTCTGGCATTTGTGTTTGAAAAGAAGGTTAAATCAAGATCTGGCTAGTCTATTAAGGAAGTTATTCTGTCAAGTGAGTCATCAAGTGGAGAAAGTAATGACAGTGAATCTGATTCTGAAATGAAAGAAATCAAACAAGCCATGGTCATGCTGACTAAAGCTTTTTCAGAATAAGTTTTATAAGAAACCTCATTCTAACAGTCAGAGATTTTCATCCGGTTCAAAGTATGAATTTAAGAATAAGTTTGGAGAGAAAGAAGTATGATGAGAAAAGGTTTGATTAGAAGTTTGATGAAAAGAAAAAGATTGTTAAGGGAGTTGCGGATGAGAATGCAAAATGTTATAATTATGGGAAGTTGGGACATTTTGCTATGAACTGTAGAAAACTAGTGTCTAAAAACATTGATTACTATAAGAACAAGTTCCTTCTTTCTAAATAAAAGGATGCAGGAAAAGATTTAATGGATGAGGATGATCATTGGCTGAATTTAACTAATGAGGAAGAAGAATCAGATGTTGTGACTCATATATGTCTGATGCCTAGGACATAGACTGATATATCTGAGAATGAGGAAGAAAAGGCATAGTCAAGTGATAAGGTACTTGAATCTTCATGTAAAAGAATGATGCTAAAATTACAAGATTTTCAGCAAAAACTTAAATTTGAAAAAAATCGAGTTGCAACTTTAGAAAAAGATCTTAAAATGCAACAAGAAAGATATATTAAGCTAAACAGTGAAAATGCTAGAAATTTTGCATGGGCTTAATCTCTGCTATCTGAGAGCAAATATTTTACGGAAAAAATGAATATCTTGAACAATGAATTATCTAAATCATATGATAAACTTTATTCTTTGGAATTAGTTAATGATGATCTGGTTGTAAAGAATAGCGCTCTTACTTTACAAAATAAGGTTTTAAATAAAACACTCAAAGACCTGGAAGAAAAGTTGTACAAGCAAGGGCAAACGGATCAAACTATTTTTCTAAATAAACCAACCGAGACCAGATTTTTTTATCCAAGGGAAGGGTTGGGATACGAAAATACGAATCGTTTAAAGAAAGCTCTATATTTTACTCCAACAATTTATAAATTTAAATATCTTAACCTCGGTCAATAATATCAAATCAGGTTTACAAAATCATCAGAGGAAGTGGAAAAACAAAAAGACATGAACAGACAAAGAAAAGATAAAAATGCAAGTTTCT